TCGGCAATTTCATCACATAGACATTTATTATTATCTAACAAACCTATTTTATGTTTATACGCTGGAAATAGTGCATGATTGCAGCGCATTCGACTTATTATCCGAATAATTGAACGATTACGTGTATTCTCAAACCATGGTTTGTCCCTTATTTTTGGTTGTATATTCTTAAAAAACTGTCCTTTGTCTCCACATTTATATTTTATCTGCCACTTTTCCTTAAGTTCCTTTCGAAAAATTGGAATAAAATCAGACTCTGGTATTTTTAATCTAAGTAGTCTTCCATTTTTCGCACCATCTTTTGCTAAATAGTCCACTTCTTCATTTTCTTCTATACCGGAATGGGCTTTTATCCATGATATATAAATTTGTTTTCCTCTACTTGATACATATTGATACAATTCTAAAATATCAAGAAGAATATAATTTAAATTAGGATTCAAAAACAGATTATTAAGTTTTTCTACCGAACTTTTAGAGTCTGTAAATATGACAAATTTATCCTCTTCTTGTTCTAAACACAGATTAATTGCTAATTTTATGGCAATAAGCTCAGCACTGAAAATTGACATCATATCTGACAGTTTGTATATTAGTTTGATATTTTTGGAAGGATAATAAACTGCACAGCCAACTCCATGTTCCGATTTAGATCCATCAGTATAAACTTTTTCATACTGTTTCCATTTTACTATACAATCTCGATAATATTCTTTTTGTATAATAATATTGTTTTGACACAAATAGCGAGCGTTAATATGTGTCTTAACTGGAGAAAGAAACATTTCATAAGAATAATTCCATAAAGGGATTCCATTGGATTTATAAAGTTCTTCATATCTGTGAACATTGGTAATGAAACTTTCAACTAATAATGGTATTTTTTTCTTATCCCAATATTTAGATGTTAAAACCAAACCAGCTAAACTAGATACTTTAACCAGTAACTTGGATTTCTGACTTCTTAACTTTAACACGAATTTGTCAGATAGAAATCTTCTCCGAAGATTCAATGGCGGTTCGCATGTTTCTGTTTCCATAACGTCTATAGGCGTACTTCCCAAGTATCCAATACAGAGTCGAAGGCATTTGTTTTTTATTTTATCTATTTTTATAAGATTTGTCTCTGCTGCTGAATGATAAAATATAGATCCGTAATCTAAAATTCACTACATACATGAAATAGTAATAGAGACATAATACATCCCTGCCTAACTCCTCTCCTGATTTCAATTTCTGGACTGGGTTCATTATCTATTACGATTTGTGCTCTTTGATTTCAGTAGAGGTTTGTTATTATTCGTAAGTCTCTGTGGTCTATGTTTTTTGTCTTTAGAAGTTGGACTAATTTTTCATGTCTAACTTTGTCAAATGCTTTTTCAAAATCAATGTAACAAACATGCACATCAACATTCATGTCCATGCATCTTTGAGCTAACACATTAAAAGCAAATAACTCTTCTCTGGTTCCTAGTCCGTTTCTGAACCCAAACTGACTATCATCTATTCCTTCTTCCAGTTTTTTATTTATACGACCATGTATTATTTTCAGGAATAATTTGTGATTTATTAGTGATATTGTTCTGTATTTACTGCAATATTTAGCGTTTGTATTTTTAGGGATAGCACAAAAGGTGGAGAGTAACCATTGTTTCGGTATGTGTCCTGTTTTGTATACTGAGTTAAAAAAGTCTTACTATAATGTCTGAGGTTTCATCATTCATGCATTTTAAGATTTCTATAGCCATTTCGTCTGAACCTAATGCTTTACCATTTTTGCTGTTTTTTAATACCATTTTAATTTCCTCTTTTAATATCTTTAAAACCATATCCTGTTCTACTTCTATCTCCAATCTGTTCTGTTCTATTGTCTTTGAATAGTTCATTGATGTATTCTGTCCATCTCTTTAATTTGTCGTTAGTATTAAACACAAGTTTCCCATTTGCATCTTTCAGTATTCCCGGTTTTCTTGTTCTATTGTTGTGAGTTAATTCTTTAATTTTTTTATGTGTGTTAAAACTATCATGTCTTTTCTGGTATTCTTCTATTTCTGCGCATTGTTCTTTTAGCCATTGTTCTTTCGCTTCCATATTGCTTCCATATCCTTCTATACAATCTGCCAATTGTACTTGTGACTGATTTACCCCTATAATTCTGACAGTCTTCTTTGTTGAATTCATGTAGATGGAGGACATGTGTGTCACTTTGCGCTGGTAAGGAACTTCCTAATTATTCAGGCATTTGTTAAAGATTTGTAATTTCTTCGTACCGATTTATAATAATTTTGCGTACAATCCCTCTGGTCTGCATTATCTTCCATTTTTTAGTTTGCTTATAGTTGTTTTTACCATTTCTAGTACGTGTTTTTTAATGTTAACTAATGTTTCTTCCTGAATATATTGTGGTCTTGTTCCAGTCAATAGACTTTTTAGTGTTGTAACCACTGTTCTTCTGGTTTATTTTGAAATGATACTTTTAAAGTACTCGTTTATCTAACTCTGTTATTGAATCGCCATGCTTCTGTGTACCTTCTTCGCCAAATTAATTCGACTATTTCCTGACATTTTGTATCCCACATCTTACTTTTGAAGTGATTTATTTTATTTTTCTTAGCCTGTGAATATTTCTTTTGCACCTTTTATGGCAAGTAGGTTTGCTTCTTTGTTGCATTCAATACCAGAATGTCCAGGCACCCAAGGTAAACATACTTGGTTACTTTTTTCGATCCTAATCAGATTCTGAAGACAATTTCAAACTTATTTAAAGTCAATTCGATTAGTTTACAGTCCCTTTAATACTGACTGGCTATTCCATATAATTTTTATAGATCTCTCTCTACAGCTCCTCTTTATTAGTTCCTAAAGGTACATCTTTATAGCATAAATTTCTGCTTAAAAGATAGTGGAGTGATTCATCATCATTAGTAGCTCGACAACCCTCTCTGGGTCCTGGCTTGATCTAGGATTTTCCACCATTCTGTTCTGTTCCTTGCTTTGTTTTTCCAGTTGGTAATCTTAAGTGTTTTTAGATCTTGTTCCATGTATCTAAATTTGGATCTTCCCTTTGACCTCCTCCCTTTTGGTGTTTGCCTCATTATATCTTTTGGTGTTTCAGTCTCCAACATCTATTCAACATGGCCTATCCAGCGCAGACCGATCTTTATGGATGTTATGACCTCGGATTCATTGTATGCTGTGTATAGTTCAAAATTATATCTTCTGCGCAATATGTCATTTTCTTTCACCCCCTTATACATGTGTCTAAGGATTTTTCGTTCAAACGTACCTAATAGGTTCTCGTCGCTTTTCGACAGTGTCCATGTCTCTGATCCATATACAAGGACCGGTTTTATCAGGGGTTTGTATATTTTTCATTTGGTTTTTCTTGTGATGTTGTTAGATCTTGGATGTTTTATTAGCCCATTATATGTTTTATTAGCAATATGTATTCTTGTCTTAACTTCCTTACTGACATTGTTATATGCAGTAACTAGTGAACCTAGATATGTAAAATGTTTCACGCTTTCGATGTTATAGTCTCCTATTGTCAGACTTGTCCATTTGCTGGCCTTCATGTACTTGGTTTTTATTTCATTAATGTTCAGGCCACTGTTTTATGCCGCTTCTTTTATCGCATTAAATGCTTCTATCATCTCTTTTCGCTTCTAGCTATGATATCAACATCATCTGCAAATGCCAATATTTGTACACTTTTTGTTATTTTTGTTCCTCTGGTGTTGACTTTTGACTCTCTAATTATTTTCTCTAATGTGATGTTGAATAGAATACAGGATAGGGCATCTCCCTGTCGTAGGCCCGTTCTCACATGGATTGTATCTGTTTTGAATTCGAATTTTGCTTTTTACTTTAAGATCAATGAATTGAGTTGAAATATTAAACTCTTTCAGTGCATGGATCAGAAATTCTTAATGGATGCTATCATAGGCACTCTCAAAATCAATGAAAAGATGATGTGTGTCTATATTAAATTCACTAGTCTTTTCCAAGATTTGCCTCAAGACGAAGATCTAATCTATTGTGGACTTCTGCCAGCAGAAACCACGTGAATATCACAAAACTATTTGTTTCGCATATGGTCTCAATCGGTCATACACAATATTTGACAGTATTTTATATGCCACAGTTAGTAGCGTTATTGCCCGGTAGTTTTTACATTGAAGCTGATCTCCCTTTTTATGTAGTGGGATAATTACTCCGGAATTCCAATCTTGTGACAGTTGTTTATTATTCCATATGTTCACTATTAGTTCGTGTATCGCATTCCTTTATTAGTTCTGTACTAATGTTGTCTAATCCAGGTGACTTGTTCTTTTTCAGTCTGGTAACTGCTTCTTGCATTTCAGCCACTGAAGGAGGATTGTTTCTCTGGTATCCGTTTGATCCAGTATAATTCCATCAGATTGTGGAACTTCGTTTTTTTCAAACTTTTCTTTGAAGAATTCTGTCCATCTTTGTAGTATTTCACTCTGTTGAGTTACTATATCTCCTTCTTTGTCTCTGCACATCATTGTTCTTGGTTTAAATTCTTTTCTGATTTTGTTAAGTTTTTGGTAGAGTTTTCTGGTTTTTGATGGTTTATTTAGTTCTTCCATTTCTTGGAGTTCTTTTTCTATGTGTTCTCTTTTCTTTCTGCGATGTATTTTTTTCTTTTCCCTCCTTATCATTCTAGTGGAGTGATTGCCTAAGTTTTTACCAAGGTTTAGATTTGGTTTCCCTCCGTGTACTTGAGATTCTGCCATTAGGAGATTTATTTTATTCAACCCCATTCGCTCCTTTTTGGAAATACGATGGTAAATAGGGTTTTGAAACTATATTAAGATTGCTTTGCATCTGATACCACTTCCAATTCTGGATAATTTTTTATCACCTCTTCAGATTTAATCCTGGTTTTTGCGCCCGCTTCCTGGTGTCTTATCCGCTTTTTTATGCTTATACCTTCCCCCCTTATTCATCCATATATGTAATGAAAGGAGGTTATTATGACCTTCATGGAGGTGGTTGGTATAGTCGAAAATGCTCCTGTTATGATTAAGTATGTTCGTCGTTGAAGCTTATTCAGCTTCCTCCTGGTAGTCTTTCATTGGTATTTAGACCATTTAGTGGTGGGTCAGTGTATATCTGAACAATTTTTATTTATTTTATTAATACACATTCGTATTTATTTTAATAAGAAAATTGTTTGCTTATGAATTGGTCACGGTATTCCTTTTGCCACCTATTTTTTTTGCTTTGATTAATTTACTTTAAACTGTTTATGTTACATTTATTGATGGAAATGAATTGTTTTAACCTTGATCTAGCATGTTTTTATGATCTCCTAATGAAGTTTCGTTATAAACATAAAAAAATGTATTTAAACCATAAAAATGGTAAACCAAGACATATCTACTCATCATATATTTAACTAAATGATCTAATTTAATTATGTAATATTGATTAAATGTTGATGTTGCTTAATTGTCTATTAAATAATTTTAAATTAGGAAAGCTCTAATATTTGCGTTTGTTTTATTTCAGTTTACCTCCTGCCCAATCTACTCCTCCAAATGAACCAGAAAAAGAACCACCACCAAAAAATGCGTGCTCCAAATTCCTTACCAACTGTCGAACAAAAATGTGCAGTTGCTGCAGAAAAGGTCCTAAAAAAACTTCTAAATCTAAGACTGATGCCGGTTGCTTCAATTGCTTCAAGAGGAAACCACAACCAGCTTCGATTGTAATTGAAAATGAAACTCAACAGAAACCGAAGCTGCTTGAGCGATTAAACTGTTGTAAAAAGCAAAAAGTGGGAGATTCTTCTTCATGTTTTCCAACAGGGAGGCGAAAAGATAGTTGGGTGGAGAGAGCAGACAGTTTATCCCAACCAGCAAGGTGAGAGATTTGGAAATTTTTTACTATATAAATAGATACTGAGATAAAAAACTTTCTAAAGGTATACGGGTATGTAGGCTTTTGTTGCCGGTGTTCTCTAATAGTGCAATATATCAGGGATTTATAGACCTTACTTACGCCGTGGCGTTACAACATGCCTCCACTCGTCTCTGTCTTGGGCAAGTCCCATCCAATTCTTCACGCACATAGCTTTTGGGTCTCCTGATATGTTATCTTGCCATCGGAGTCGAGGTCATCCATGTGGTCTTCTTCCTAAGGATCTTCCTCCCATGAAAGCCTTACTATTTTTTCGTCAGAATGTCTTCTTAGGTGTCCTGCCCACTGGAATCCTCTGAACTTTATTTTTTTAATGTTTTATATTGTCCTGCTGCTCCAATAAGCAAAGGACAAAGATCTTCCTTAGGGTTTTTCTTTCCCAAGCACGTAGTCGATCTTCGTTTGCGTTTGTTATCGTCCACGTTTCACTACCACATACATACATACATTCTTGTTATCTGTTTCAATTTTATTAGTTTTTGAAGGCATAAAGACATCTGTTGCCGGCTTGTATTCTATTGTTTATTTCTTGCGATTCGTTATTGTCTTCAGTTATTGTTGTTCCAAGGTTCTTAAATTCTCTGACGCGCTCAAAGTTAAAGTCATCGATGGTGATGTTTTGTCGGCTCTGTCTCTGCTTCGGTTATTGCAACTTATATGCATATATTTAGTTTTGTTTTCATTAATTAGGAGCCCCCTGACGAAACTCTCCTTCGTCCCTCCGCAATTTGAGCTGTTGCTCTTAAAGCTCATGAATAAAACCTTTTATATACCGAAGCTATGGCGCGTATCCAGTAGTGGCACTATTGAAACCAGATACAGTGCAAAGTAAAGCAAAAACTGTTCCTTCACCCACATTTTAAAGTTTTTGACGAATGATAATCAATCTCTATCATTGATGATAAACTAATACGTGAAAAAGCTGAATTTAGAACCGGAAAATCTTACTGTGGTCAATATTAAACCTTGTTCAGGATATCGAAAGTAGATTTGAGCGAAAGGAAATTACTGGCGTCGCTTATGTGATTTAACTGCTACTTATGACACTGTAAAAAGATTATTAATAGAACTGTACAAGACGATCAAATATTTCGGATTAAAGTGTTTGTTAAAATGCATTTTTGGAAATCGAAGGTAGGGCTGGACAGCTCAAGCGATAGAGTGTTTGACTTCCACGCAGAAGGCCGATGATCAAATCCAAGCTCCGGCGAGAATATCTAGATATTTTTAACTATCCACAGGCTCCAGGTCGACTCAGTCTGAATAAAATGAGTACCTTTAGACTAGGCGGGATCTGTAGAAATTCAGACCATAATGGACATTTTTCATAGGAAGCTATTTTTTTGCTGGAATCCCTTCAGGATATGCCCAATATCGATAATCACGATATGCGCCAGTCGCAAACCCTGTGCTAAATTTTTTATTTCAACAAAATCTGAAAACAATTGAAAATTTCTCATTTTTTGCTCCTATTTTCGTTTAATTCGGAAAATATTGAGCTAGAAAAATTATAAGAAGTTAAAAGTTCGTTATTCAATTTTGCTAGTAGAAATTGAAAATTTAATGTTTATTGTTGAAAAAAATAGCAATAATTGGAAAATAAGTACAAAAAAATGAAGTTAATTCTTTAAATGTTTTCGACTTTCTAAACTTGACTTACAAGCTCCATATTCTGCCTAGAAAAACTTTTTAATATTTTTAAAACGTGTGCTAAATTTTGTTAAGATCGATCGGATAGGTTTTGCATAATAATTTGCAATCCAGCCTACTGGAAAAAAATTGCAAATTTTCAAATTTATAGTAGGCCCTAAATAAGGCCCTAAGATAGTTGCAATTTTTTTTACATATAAAGAAAGGCTCAAACTTTCAAACGCTTTTTGTAAAATTCAAATCGGTTTCACTAGGAGAGCCTAGAAATTTTTTAAAATTTTAAACATTTTTTAGGCTTATAAACAAATTGAATAACTTTACGAGCTGTAAACATATCAATTTCAAAATTTATACACTTAAAGAACATTAAAAGACGCTTTTTAAAAAAAAAGATACATTCGGCTTACTGGTTGCTAAGATATTGAAGGTCAAAGTTGGCATACATTTGCCGTGTAACCATAAGTGATAGAGGGCTCGTTTTTAAACAAATACCCTCGCCTTGTCAAGTACTTTTTTATATGAAAAGTTTTTCGTAATGCGCTTCATGGCAACATCCATAAAAAAGACAAATAAAAAAACCGTTTTCGCGTAAAATGTCGCTCGAAATGCATGAGAGGTGGTGGTGGGGGACATTCACTGCGAAATGTGAATCGGCGAGTTCAAAATCATAGCTCGCGCTAAAAATTGCATTATCTCGGCTTCTTGTTAACCAATTTTGCTCTTTTTTTTTTGAATCGATGTCTCGATTGTTAATTATTTTCAACGAATAATGATATATCACAAGAAGCAACCATTTTTAATGAAAAAAGTGCCACTAAGGAAGAAATTAAACGCAGCGGATGCAAAATTATATTGGCATTGTATATGGGCCACTGAAAGTGCGATTTTATGTTGAAAAAATAACCTCTATAAACGAAAATAGAAGCAAAAAAATAAGAAATTTTCAATTATTTTCAGATTTTGTTAAATAAAAAATTTAGCACAGGGTTTGCGACTGGCGCATATCGTGATTATCGATATTGGGTACATCCTAAGGGATTCCAGCAAAAAATAGCTTCCTATGAAAAATGTCCAATCCAAAACAGATCCCGCCTAGACTACTTGGGTAAAATTAGAAGTAATAATAGGCAGTTAAAGCATAGCACTGGCCCTCTTACCTTTCTTGTATACTGTAGGCCCAAGAGATAGCAGACTGTGCTGCTATAATGTCAAAGCCGCACAATTTTGTATAATTTGAGACTATTATTGACAAAAATCGTAAGTTCTGCATTACCATAGTCACCAGAGAAATGAAAAAAGTGCTCTTGCTCAGGGAGAATATTATCACTTTTACTTTATAACATCTATACAAACTACTTACCGAACCACTCTTGATGTGGACGCTTTATTTATGCTAAAAAATGGCATGGTTTTTACAGGGAACATGTTCCGCAGAAATAGAAAAGAAGTTCTGGACTACACTAGAAAAGCAACAAAGTACTATAACAGTAACTTTCTAAAAAAAACTCTTTAAAATTCCACGTATGTTTACTACCTAAACAACGAGCATACCACACTCGCCACATTAATCATGCTGTTATTGAGAATACCCAAATAATAATAGGTTGTTTAAAACCAACTTCAGTATCTGAGATATACCCTATAATCGGAATTGCTTCTTACAACATCAAAAGGACCGTTGTTTCTAAAATTGAAACGGAAAAACAAGACATTGAACTGCACCTTCATAAATTTGCCTAATCAAGGCATCCAAATATATTAAAATCTCGTTAAAATTTGAACTAAAACCACTGCTGAACAGCGTAATCTATAACTTTGGAGGGAAAATTTGTCCCTTGTTGCCCTAGATCCTAAATAAGAACTGGTTACGGATTACCAATTACCTTACACCGTATGGAGATCTCTTAATAGACTTACAATAAGCATAGCACGATGTAAGTCAAATTTAAAGCGATAGGGGGTATTTAGAACCTAACCAAGGTAAATATGAATACACTAGCTACAACAGAAAGGGCAATGGAAAAGGTAATGTTAGGTAAACAACTGTCAGATAGTAGAAAACTGGGTAAGATTAAAAACAAAAGAGGATTTCAAAACAAAAATTGCCAAACTCAAATGGACCTTCGTAGGACACACTGGTGAACAAAAAGTCCTGCGTTAAAACGCTACATTACAACACTAGAGACCATACAAAGGTAGATGATCAACAGGAAAACCACAGATGAGATGAGTAGATGACAAAAAAAAATATGTAGAACAAATTGGAAGTATGTTGCTCAAGATAGAGATAGATGAAAGGAGTAGGAAGAGGTCTATGTCCACAAATGGAAAATAGAAGGATAAGAACAAGAAGAAGAAGACGAACGGGTAATAAGAGGATAATAAACATGACTCAATGTCACGTTTATGTGACAAAATGATAAGGTCAATTAAGTTGCGAAGTATTATCAATATAGGATTTAAAGAAGTAATCCTGACCCAGAAAATAAGTACTTATTATTAAGTTTTGTAATATATTCTGGGAACTATTGTTTTTATAACTTTAACAAATACATAAACATTTTTTACGATACGCCAAACTTGTTGGACAAAGCTGCATAATTTTTAAAATTTCATCCATTTGTGTTGTTTTTAATCAATATTTAAAAATGATATAAAGCCTTCTTCGGAACTGTTTCTTAATTATTATTGGTTTTTATATAGGTATCTTTCATAGCAGGTATCTTTGTATTTCTGTCATTAGTTACTTACTTTACTTTATCGTGTCCGGACATGTCATTCATAAAATTTCGGCCCAGTATCGGGCTACGTCGGTTCCATCTTTGTTGGCGAGCCACAAATCTTCAAGGGTACATCGATGAGGACAGTTTCTGCATGTAAGAAGATGTTCCATATTCTGTGTTTCTCCACAGTCACAGTTCACATCATCTTGGTCTATTTTTCCCATTTTGCCATGTTTGATTTTACTGTAGCAACCCCCGTTCTTATCCTATTCAAGGTTTTCCACGTTTTAAAGTCTAGGGTCTGGCCGGTCCATTGAACCTGGGGAAGTGGAAAATACTCAGGCGGTTCATCCTGCACTGTTCCAAGGAAGCTTTTCCTAGATTTTAGTCGCTTTCGTGGTGTTCGAGCTTTGTATAGGGCATGCCGATCGTCCGCGATCTGTTTAATTTTCTCTATGTGTTCTGCAGCGCCTCTGCGTGTTGAGGGTTCTGCAAAACCCGCTGCTCTATATAGATTTCAAAGTGGCGTTGGTTTCATGCACCCCGTTACTATCCTGCATGTCTCATTTAGCGCAGTATCAACTTGTTTGGTGTGGCAGATCTGCTCCAAACGGGGCACGCATATTCAGCAGTTAAGAAACACAGTGCCTGTGCCGTTGTTCTTAAAACGTCAGGACGTGCGCCCCATTTACTTCCCGTTAGCTTTCTGAGTATGCTGTTCCTAGTTGTTACTTTCCCTCTTGTTTTCATGCAATGTTGTCTGTAGGTGAGGGACCGGTCCAGAGTTACTCCAAGATATATAGGTTGGTTTGTGTGTTCTAATGCATTACCATTCCACACAATTTGGAGTTTTCGCTTGGCTTCCTTTGTGCGAAGGTGGAAAGCGCAGACTTGGGTTTTAGAGGGATTGGGTCTCAGAGAATTCTGCAGGTAGTACGCTGTCATTGTTTTTAAGGCAGTTTCGAGTTTCTCCTCCACTTCTTCAAAACTATTTCCTTGAGCACATATTGCAAGATCATCAGCATAGAGGAAGTGCTTGGTTTCGGTCGGAGTAGGTTGGTCGTTTGTGTATATATTGAAGAGCATTGGTGCTAAAACACTTCCCTGTGGGAGGCCGTTTTTTTGAACTCTCCACCTACTTACTTTACCCTCCAGCATAACGAAAAAACGTCTATTTTGCAGTAAGGAATATACGACCTTTCCCAGATGGTGGTCATTGAGAGTGTCGTATAATTTACGGAGCAATCTTTTGTGCCTTACTGTGTCATAGGCTGCTGTCAGATCTACAAAAGCAGCCCCTGTTATAAGTTTTTCTTCAAAGCCCTCTTCAATGTGTTCTGTTAATGCGAGGACTTGACCGGTGCAAGATTTGCCAGGTCTGAATCCTCCTTGTTGTGGGATGAGGTGCTTGTCGACATTTTTTTCTATTCTGGCGAGTATGAGTCTCTCGTATAGTTTAAAAAAGTGACACAATAGCGAAATAGGTCTGTAGCTACTGGGGTCTTCTGGATCCTTCTGTCATTAGTTAAAAATACAATTTTGCTTCCAGCATGAAGAACAATATTGCTTTTTTCTACTGAATACCGTATATTTAAAGCATATTTTTTGTTACCTGTTCTGTCAGCCAAACCGTATTTGGCAGTATCAAGCATATTGAACCAAATTTCTTCTATATAAATAATAGATTTGTTTAAATCATGGTATCTTTTTATTTCGAGGAAATATCGAAAGTCGAAGTTCAATAATATTCCAATATTTGGAATTTTTCCCGAATTCTAAACATCGGGTATCAGCTCTAAGCTAGACGAGTATCAGTTCTAAAGTTTGCACTATATTATCCTTGTAAAAATAACAACAATCCGTCCTTTAAAACATTGTTAATCCTACCCAATTTTTAACGAAATGCAATAAAACGAAATATAATATAACATAACAAAATATTGCAGATAAAAAACTCTTCTCTGTTTTACTGCTTAAGGTTTCTAACAAAAGTTTATTTTTTAGAAGCAAGTGCTCCAAAAAGTGTTGTACAGGCTTTTTGGCAACAATATTTTGTTTGAATTTATGCCGAAAAAAGAAAACTGTTGAAATTCCTGATCGAAAAGATTCAATAATAAGCAAAAAGAAAAGTTTGACTCCAACCACAGCTCCACCACCAGAGGTAAGTAACTTAGAATTCAGTGCGTGGACTGTTTCTTTTAACATTAAAAATATATATCATAACGAAAAGAATCTATAAAAAGCAGTATAATATAGAATAGACAAAGCTTTCTGTTCTATATTATATATGTAATATACACAATGCATAAATGAACTGACTGATCATATGGAACTTTAAATTAAACAAACAAAATGAAAGTTTTACTTATAAAATGAATTATGTACATATATCTCTAATTTAACCTTAAAAATCTCACGTGACAAGTCTGCACACTTCACACGACTACTTTGACTCCGCAAAAACAGGTTTAAAATTTAACCTTATTCGATCGACCCAAGTAAGTAATAAAACAGGAGAGGAGATGATGTGATAATAAGTACGGCTCTTGAAGGCAGTTCCGGCAATGGAACTCTAGAAAGTTACTTTTTTCTATATTTTCTTGATCAGAAAAAGAGAGACAAAATTAAAATAATTTATCGGTAATATGAGCTATCAGTTAAAGCTTATTACTTAACATCTACATCATCGTACATCAAAACTAATATGCCTCAAATGTTGGCATCTAGGTATTATATACCTTTTAGCCAGACAAATTAAACTAAATGTTACTATAAACATTTTTAACAGGTACTTCGAGAAAGAAAGTGCGTTGTATTTATTTACAATACCAAATTGGATACACGGCAGAAGTGCTACGTACTTTTTAACTAGACCAAACACAGACAAAATTAATTATAAGGGAACTGAAAATACGGCATAGTTAGAAGTAGAAGAAACAGTCTACGAAATAATATATACATATCGTGATACAGCACTATCCAAATTTTTTTTCCCAAGTTAATGGCACTGGCAAAGCCAAAAAGGCCAGTCATGTTTTCTCATAGTTTTATAATCCATTTCCATTGTTTACATTATATACATATATAAATATTATATACAGGTTAAATTAAGATACAATATTTTAGTGTGTTAGTAAATGCCTAAATATTTTCGTTACATTTTTTTATTTTTATTGTTTTTTTTTATATCAGTCTAGATACCATTGTAACTTTTCTTTTATTTTTTGTTTATTTCTTTTATTAAGTATTATTTTTTTATTGTTTAATATTATTTATTTATTGGTTTGCTTTTTGTTTTTTTTTTGTTTGTTTTTGTTCTTTTTTTGTTTTTTTTTTTGTTTTTTTTTTTTTCGTTTTAGGCTTACAAATTTATTCATATATCGCAATACTGCTTACAAAGTAATATTGTAGATTTTACATACTGATAAGATGTTGTAGAGTACTATTATCCTCCAATGGTTAATAGATTTGAAACATTTTATTGGAAATTTCATTTTGTTCAATATTAAATTTTGATAAAGCTTATCCAACACTATCCAAATTGAAGGGCAGTTTTTACTAGAAAAATGAAAACGCTTCACTGTTATTTGCAAAGTTTAATAATACTGAATATTTGGAATATTGAAAATAGTTTCAAAACCATCGCCATTCTTTTACAAGTATCTACTGTAGAAACCTAGTATACTTCTTGTTATATTCACAGATCAAAAAGATAAAATATGCAGTTATTCTTATTCGAATTTTTTTTATATGTATTTTATTTTAGGATACTCGTCCAAAAATAGATATGAGTTTGGTAGAGCATTCATCTCACATGAAGGCAGCTATCCCAATATTACCGATATGTCTAGCTTGGTTCTGCCTGATTTTAAATTGTATAGGACCTGGAACAGGTAACACATAGTTTTATATTACATTAACAAAAATGTAGTGAGAAAACACAATACTTTCTAATGTATATATATATATATTATATATATATATATATAAATATATATATATATATTAATTAATGAGATATTAAAAGTCTGAAGTGCGCCAAGCAATTAAAATCATAAATTAAACTTATTTAAATGATGCAATTATGATTCTATCACACTATTCTCTTCTCTCAGGCTTATACTCGTGCTTCAATATCTATGCTTTACATATGATAGGTAAGGTCCAAAGAATACCGGAATAATAAAAAAACATATATGATACAACATATATATGAAATAAAAATATATTAAATAACATTCACAATCAAATATTCATAAAAATACTCAAAATGTTATCAATTTGTTCTACGTACGTGAACCTCAAAAATTAAGTCATACAATATAAATTAATCTAAACAAATGTTGTTCTAAATCTCCTGATCAAAATATTCCTATCTTTTCTAAAACAATTGTAAAAAAATGTGTTGTTAATAAAGAAAAAACTGACGAATAGTAAAACTATCTCTCTGATGACGAGTTGTCCAAATCCTTGTTCCTTGTAGCCTACACTATCTATTCTTAGCAGTTTCCTAGGTAATCAATAATCTTACAACAAATTGTTGCGAGCCTATCGTCTTTAATGATCTCTTCAAATGCACATATCGTTCAAATTATACTAGCCTTTTCTCCTCTCGATAAACTGAATTTCTCGTTCTGGTCTGAACAGTGACTCTTGGAATATAAGTAGAAAATATAACTTACAATATTTTTACTGGATCAGCTTCTGTCAGATACACTTACTCCACGAAACTCACAAACATTCACTTCTACTGTTTACTACCTCTGGAGAACCACCACAGAACAACGACTGTTTTTCAATCGCCTCCAAAAGCTCGTCACACGTATCCCCATCTCTTCATTTGATACAAAACAATTTTACCTACAATATAAATTTCCTAAAAACATTTAACATGCTAATCGGTTTCTACAAATTCTTAAGAACTAACGGAGAAATATATTTCCTAAATATTTATTCTATTGTCTTATTCACTGTACAAGTCCATTTGGAAAACCCGCTCGCATTGTTCATGATTTCACTTAAGCTCACTCATGTCACTTTACAAAGAAAATAATTTATGCATATCTTTAAAATTTTGTTTACTACAGGTAATCCAGGATAATGGAGTTTAATTTCTTCGAAAATATCTTTTATAGTTTATTAGTCGAATTATTTGAATTATTATATTTTGTACTTTGAAATATATGTAAGCAAACAATATTATTTTCGATTTTACATAGCATAACAATATATATATATATATATATATATATTATATATATAATATATATAATATATATATGGACATGAGGCAATAATTTGATGTTTCTTCATTTTAAAAATATTCAGTTGTTTGACCTGGTCTATTGTTGGATGGTCATTGTTCATTATGGTGATAAATAATAACGTGAACGTTTTTGTCACTTCATCAAAGACTGTTGTATACTGACAAATAAATTGTTGTATATCATTTAAGATTACCAGTTCTTCTAAAGGAAATAGTTGCGAGGTGTCTAGAAAATACTACGTGAACGAACAACTTCAGTGAGATTTGTTTCATTGTCCAACACCCAAAACAGTTATGACAGTTAATTGACATAAGAATTTCATATTTCCTCGAGCTGAACATTTTCAGCATTTTCTTACACCAATCAACACAATTTTTGTTTGCGCTTCTGAGTCTCTATTGGGGTCAAACAGCTAAAGTAGGATCTACATTGACCAATAAAATTGAGATCAAGAAAGGGGTACGACAGGGCTGTATCTTGTCTCCTATTCTCTTTAATATATACCCAGAAGAAGTATTTAAGACAGCGCTGGAGGAAAGCACAGAAGGCATAAAGATAAATGGAGAAATAATTAATAAAATAAGGTATGCTGAAAAACAAGTGCACAATACGGACTCAGACTAAATATCACAAAAACCAAATGGATGTTAGTAAGCAAAACCCAACAACCACCACAGCAACTGATATTAGACAATGAAAGAATTGAACACGTGGATTCGTACATCTACTTGGGAACAACAGTTAACTCAAATTGGATCAAGCGAAGGAAATACGTATAAGATCAGAAAAGGCAAGAGCATCGTTCACTAGCATGAAGCAAATTTTCACCTCTAAAAGTCTCACCCTACCTCTCAAAATTCGACTTCTGAAATGTTATGTATTCCCGGTTTTGTTATATGGAATGGAGGCGTGGACAATGACCGCAACATTAATAAAAAAGTAGAGGCCTTCGAAATGTGGGCTTACCGACGTATATTACGTATATCCTGGACTGAGCACGTGACCAACGAAGAGGTACTACGCCGGATAGTTAAAGAGAGAGAGGTAGGAATAAGTATAAAGAAAAGAAAGTTGGAATACTTGGGTCACGTTATGAGACATAATAAATATAGAGTACTACAGCCGATCGTTCAAGGGAAAATAGACAGCAGAAGGGGTCCAGAGAGGAGAAGATACTCGTGGCTCCAAAACTTGCGGCAATGGTTCGGATTGTCATCTGCTGAACTATTCAGATCTGCCGTAAACAAAGTCAGAATAGCCATGTTGATTGCCAACGTTCGGAACGGACAAGGCACATGAAGAAGATGAAATATGCACCTTTACGAAGACAAAGATGCTACAACTTAGTAACGCCATCTATTGGTCGATAATAAAAATTTACAAGGCAGTCTCGTTGTCTCTCGTATAATGATTTATACCAGTTAACTTTTTTAAATGTCCTTTATTGCGTACAATGTTTCTTAGTCCTGTAGTGATAGTAATAAAATACAAAATATTTATAAAGTGTTGGCTTTATTTTTAGGCACAGTTATAAGTGGAATACTCAATCTTTGTATTGGAATACCCAGATTTTCTCAAAAGGATGGAGCCAAGTCAAGATTTGGAGCTTTTTTAATAAATTTAATTATAGGTTTCAGCCAATGTTTCACGGTACTGTTCTGCCTTGTTGGATGGGGTTGGTCGATATGGTGGGGTATTATAATGATTAAGATAGCAAGTAAGTACGATTTATTAAAGAACATTAAAGATTTTAAAGAAAGTGTATTATTTTTGGTTATTTTATCATTTAATTGAAAACTAGCGACACACGCGCTAAAATTATCAATGTATTTAATTTGATTTAAAATTCTAACGATTTTTTTGATCCTACTTATTCACTTATTTCAACAGATCTCGTATACCTGAACGTTCAAAAGTTACCATATTAAATTATACAAAGAGTCCAGGAGGGATCTGCCGAAAAGCGGACTACCTATATGAGTAATGTACATTTTCTATAGGAGTCTATTTCTTTTGCTTGAATCACTTCAGGATGTACTTTGTAGCAATAATCACGATATGCGCCAGTCAAAAACCTTTTACTTAGTTTTTTATTTAAAAAAATCTGAAAAAAAATCGAATTTTTTTCTTTTGCGCATATTTTTGCCTATAACTCGAGAGATATTGCTCATTCAAAACATCTTGCAGCTTTCATATTGAGTCTAAAAAAATTTTGTAATATGTCTGAAAGATGTGCTAAATGTTAGCATCAGTTTCATTCAGGTCACCAGTCTTCAGGTAAGCTTATTCTTTTCCTTGTATTTTATTTCACCTCTGTACAAAATCACGGAGTTTTTCGCTTTAGGAGGGACTTGCTTTATTTATCTTTTGTCCAGAGCTTCTCTAGCTGAGTCTAAGATATTTGCTTTAATTTATGCCCAGGTTTCCTCGACTCCATGGATTTGGATGATATACAGTGTGTAAAAGCCAAATGGAATAAATTCATTATTTAGGTTACTGTACATATTTATAAAAAATCCCGAAACACGTCAAATTTAAATTATAACTTGACATTCTTTAACGTGAAAATGCAACCCCTACCTTCAACCCCCAATTTTTAAAATAGGAAGTATAGGCTTGTGATATATCGTTTGAAAGGTCTTTTCATTCTCCATTCAAAAATGTTGTCGCTTTCAAGTTTATTAAGATTAATTAAGATAAAATAAATTAAAATCATGTGGTTACCGAAATTCGCTAAAATATACTCAAAACTTATTTCCCGTTTAGGTCTTGATAATGAGAAAGTGAACAAAAACCATAGCAATGTGGTTTTTAGATGGTAACCATTAAAAAATTTAAAGAATTTCCGTGGCAACGTTATTTTAACACGCATTAGTAAATTGTTTTATTTAAGTTATCAGTATTTTAATTTAAGTAAAAAGTTCGTTCAATTCAATTCTGAAAAATGGTTAGATTAACGGAAATGCATAAAATAACAGTTTACGTTAGTGTTTAGTAACACCCGAACACAATAGGAAGTAACTCGCCTATTTCATGAGAAATTTCCTAATTTACCGCCTATATCCCAAGGAACAATAAGTAAAATAGAGAAGCAGTTTCGCGAGTTTGGTCATGTAAGGCAGATAAAAAAAGCAGCTGCCAATGCACTGAGTGATGAACTCAAATTAGATGTGTTGCTTGAGTTTCAGGAAAATCCACATACATCGAGTAGACAGGCATCCACTACATTCAATGCTACCCATACATCGATAGTAAACATATTAAAAGAAAATAAATTGCATCCCTATAAGATGATACCTACTCAGGAGCTCATGGAAGACGATTTTGATAGAACTTTTTTTGTGAGCAAATGATGGACATGTTGGATAACAATATTATCCAATTAGAAGACGTTATGTTTTCTGATGAGTGTACTTTTTCACTTAACGGTCATGCTAATCGGCAAAATTGCCGCTACTGGGCCACGGAAAATCCTCACTGGATGAGAAAAGAACACACTCAATACCCTCAAAAGGTTAATGTTTGGGCAGGGATTGTAGAAAACAATATCATTGGTTCCTTTTTCATTGAGGGCAACTTGAATGGCAACAATTATTTGGCACTACTTCAAAATGATGTCATTCCAACGTTGGCAAATTTATATCCTGATCCAGGAAACCCTCTTAAATTCCAGCGAATACGATATGGTTTCAGCAGGATGGAGTGGCACCACATTACCAACTTAATGTCCGGCAGTACCTCGATACAATATTTCCCAATCGGTGGATAGGGAGGCGAAGATCGATTGAATGGCCAGCGCGATCACCTGATCTTACATTATTAGATTTCTTTTTATGGGGATATGTGAAGAGCCATGTATACAAAACTAAAACTTCTGATTTAAATGACTTAAAAGAACGAATAACGCTTGCGATTAGGTCGATCACGCCTGTTATGTTAAACAATGTTAGAAGACATTACGTTTTGCATTACATTTAGTTTTGATTGTATTGTAGCGAATTTCGGTAACCACATGATTTTAATTTATTTTATCTTAATTAATCTTAATAAACTTGAAAGCGACAACATTTTGAATGGAGAATGAAAAGACCTTTCAAACGATTTATCACAAGCCTATACTTCCTATTTTAAAAATTGGGGGTTGTACCTGTCATTCTAAGGGGGTTGAAGGTAGGGGTTGCATTTTCACGTTAAAGAATAACGTGAAAATAAATGAATAGTTTATAATTTAAATATTTGTATAAAACTGTTATTGGCAAACTGTATGTGTTTCTGCATTTTTCTGCTATTCTTTTTTTATATAAATACCTTGTGTCGACCTTCAAATTTTCAACTTGTATCTTTGTAGTGAATTCTATAAAATTTATTTTTGTGAAATATTTGTTTTCATTAGGTTTTATCACAATACTAGCTTATGATTGCTTTCGATCTCTGCCAATGTTAGTGTAATTACGTTTAAAAGGAAGTAGCTCTCAATTTAAAAGAATATAGTCGATCATAGATCTTTGTCCTCTGGTACTTTAAAGTTGTGTAGTTGTTCTTCATAAAGGCAAAAAGTTTTATTAATAAGTAATGTATTTTGGCTACACTAGTAGCAAAAATACATTGTAGCTACACGTTTTCATTTCTGACATTTTTGTTATATGGTTGTTTATCCCTGATACTATGTGGAATTTTGTTTGCTGTACTCTGGATGAGTTTATAGAAGCTTTCTCTGGTATTTACATCTCTGTTCTTGTTAGGTGCATAGATTTCTATCACATTTAAGTCCTTGACGTCTAGATTTTCGTATTCCACAATATAATTCTAATTAAAAAATATAAAAGCTATGTAATAACGTTTTATTATATAATATTTTAATAAATGTCACATCAAATACTAATCAACACATTTATACACTGCTATCAACGGTATCATTTTTCTCGGATTATAGGACGCTCGAAAAGACTAAAACAAAAAGAAAAAATGTTAAACAATGATAATATAGAAGATGGTTTTGGAATAAAAAAGAAAGGCTTTCGCAGAAATTGTTTAAATAAAGCTGCATTTTTAAGACTTGTAAGGAGGTACGATATGACAGATTATCTAAGTATCTTAATACACAGGCACGAGGTATATAGTTTAGTAGTAGGTATATCTAATCAACAAGTAGAAAGCACAGTATATGGCCTTTTCTTTAACAAGTATACACCCATTTTTAGAGCTGTATTTTTGACTTACATATAAGTATATAATAGACTGCTTTTAGTTAACATCTTTCATTAATTAATATTGTTACGGCAGTTCCATAAGATTTATTTCTTTTAATTTTGGCGACATCTGGGAATCTTTTTGGCCGCTTCATACTCTTGGGTTTAGCTTGGTGTCCTATTTATCGTTCTCTGATGTAGTAAATGGAGGGCTTGCTTGTTACATTTTAACATCCTGTAGTCCTTTTATGAATGCTTGTATACTAATTTGTTCCAGAAAATCTTTGGGTGCTGAAGGTACACCCAGTGCAATAAACTTATAATATCAGCTTTAAATTATTGTAGCATTTCGTTATATTTTTCCTTATGCCAAAATTTTTTAATATTGGATAAGAGACTTGTAGAGCAAATAAGTTTTCCCCTATAAATATATGGAATTCCATTAAAACATAGAAACTTATTTACGAGCCTTCTTGATTTTTTCGGCCTGTTCCATTCTTAACAGCTGCTGTCGTTGCAGCAGCTCGAGTTGTATTGGACCTTTTGGCGGCAGCACCTTTAGTAGGTGACTTGTTCCTTTAGCTTCCAAAGTCAGTTTTTTCTTGTATTGGTATCATCTTCATAGGCTACATTTTTCTCTGGTTATCGAATATCCAAACCGGCATATCTATGTTTCGTAGACCTTAAGAAGGCATTTGACTAGGTTAAATTAAAAGACGCTATCCCCTTACTGTACGCAAGAGAGACAGCTCTAAAAATAATCAAAACGATCGAAAATATCTACCAAAAAAACACAATAAAGCTGCTTGAATGAAACAATATGGAGAAATAAAAATATGGAAAGAAACGAAAGGCAAAATTTTCAAAACAGTCATCAGATCAATAAGGACAGCCTCATGGACGACAAAAAGGATGATAAAAAGAGCAGAGATAAAAATATTTAGAAAAATTGATGATAAGACACTATGGGACAGAACTAAAAGTACAGATATACGACGTAGGTGCAAGGTGGAGAACATCAAGAAATGGGTAAGAAATAGAAGAGTAGAATGGAATAATTATATAAGCCGAATGACAACAAATAGAGTAGTAAAGACGGCAAGAGACGATTCCTCAATAAGAAGACGATCAGTAGGAAGGCCATGAAAACGATGGGACGACAACTTACTGGAGGCACATAGAAAAACAGACATAGTCATGTCTATATTAAAAAAAGAAGAAGAAGAAGAACAAGAAAACAAGAATAGCGAAATTTCACGCGACATTCAAATGTTGAAATGTAGCCGAAATCACGTACTTATAATATTCTAGGAAATTTTGAATTCAATCATTGTAGGCGCATAAGAAAATACATTTCCTTGCTGGTCATTTTACATTGTAACAATAGAATATTAACCAAATATAAACATCAAATTAGTAAGCAGCTAAAGAATTACTAGACATAGAAGTTATACATAGAAGAACAAAAACAAATGACTGTTTTAACGAAGAATGTCGGATTATAGCAGAAAGAAAAAACAAGTTATATTTATTGATGCAACAGGGGCACAGAACCCGATAAGCAAAGGAGGAATATAAATAACTACGTAGAAAGAAGAGGGAACATATGAATAAAGAACTTCAGGAACTAGAAGAACAGAGTAAACCAAAAGAGACACGAAAATTTTACCAGAAATTAAGCAAGTGCAAAAAGAATTCAAACAAAGAAGAAAAGCAGAAGAAAAAAAGTAAAGAGATAAGGAGGGTAATATATTGACAGAACAGTAAGAAAAACTTCTGAATATGAAATTCCTGAATGCAACCGAAAATGCTTTAGATTATATTGATATATTAGCTGATTATTCTTAATACTTCATTTTAACGTTGTTTATAAAAATATTGCTTTTACCGTAATTATGTGTTCTTAATATGCCATACGCTAAATAAAAAATAAATGCGCTATTGACACGCTTTATGGTAAAACTCATAGGAACAGCTTAATTGTACGGTACTTAAGAGATCACGCGTCTGACTCATTTCTTATTTCTTTTGCTGGATTTACAGAAAAATTATTAAAACATATAATATATATATATATATATATATATATATATATATATATATTATAAAACTGTTTTGGATGGGTTGTGGAGTCAATAAAAGGAGCTATTTGTTGACTATTTTCACTCGAGCTTTCAATTGTGATTACAATTATTATCAAGAGCTTCTAAAAAATACAAAAATATCTTACAAAGTTGAACTTAGAAATAAAAATATTTTTTGTTAACTCACCAAATAAAATTAGTTTGTTATAAAACTGCTTGCTCTACATAATAATTACAAAAAATATTAATAAAAAAATGTCCTATTCTAATAAAATGTTTCTCTGAAAAATTTTGATAGTTTCTTAACAAAAAAACAATTGAATTTGTAAACTAAAATTGAATAGCTACAAAACCGCCCAAATGTCATAAATACTAACTTAAAAAAATTTTTATTTTTGACATATTGTCAAAAATAAAATTTGTATTAAAAATTCTTCTTTGTTTAGTAACAAAAAAGAAAGAAGATTTATTCACCATTGATAGATTCGGAAAAAATGTAACACTTGATGTTGAAAAACAGAAGGTTCAGAAAACCCAATGAAGTAATAGATTTATAAGCTAATACTCAAATCATCCAAAATAAGATGAAAATTAACCTTATAACAGGATTAAAGGAACGTGTTTTAAAACTTTCTCATCCAGCACTATCTACAAGGAAGATCTTCATCTGTTAAAAAAAATTATTTTAAATGAAAACTCTTATCCTCCAGATATGCTACATACGAGGCTTTTTTCTAATTTATTAAATATATAATACAACGTAACACACCATTTTTTTGCTAAATCTCACAACCACTGTATCCAACAATCAAAACTGATTATAATTATCATTCACTACCTTTTATACCATCATTACACCCTAAATTACATACACAACACTAAAGGTTCTTGATCAATATACAAATGGCAACACAAAGAACATCAAAACACATTTCATTCTTTATATTCTAAAAACTAAATATCCTATAGACAAATTAGAGCAAACAAAATGTACGTATACAGCATTGTTTGTACTTTCAGATGTGAAGCTGTAGTATATTGGTGAGAAGGACTGAAGAAATCTCTCAAATCGCATATATTTCTCACAACAGTAGTGATATATATATATATATATATATATATTATAAAATATATAAATATAACATCTATAGTATTACATATATATATCGTACGCCTTATACAATATATATATATATATATATTATAATATAGATATATATATAAAATATATATATATATTATTATATATATATATAATATATATATAATAATATATATATTATATATATATATATATATATATATATATATATGTACAAGGAAAACGTTAGTTTGTTAAGAGTGTAGGCTTTCACAACCATCTCTTTATAATAAATGCACTTGCTTTCAAGAGCTAGGTAAAGTAACGTGAAATAATAATATCTTTCTTTCTTACAGGAAAACATAAACGGTTCAAACAGTTAGAAGCAATAGAAGAGGCCACTACCGTACCTGGAACAAATGCAAATCCTCGAACAAGGGACCCTCCAAAACGTTAAAATAAAACAAATTATTATCTCTAGTTTCTAGGTAAAGGACTAGTTGACTATGTTGAATTTATTAGCAAAAAAAAATTTTTACAAGTGGTCGATTAATAAATGAACAAAAATCTCCTAGAGCTAGTTTTTTAATTCATTTATAACAGCCTCTATGTAATATTTAACATTTTTTATAGTTTAACAATTGAAAAACGACTGACTTTTCTTCGCAACTCTTTTTGTTTCATTCGAAATAAGTATAACTACTTAAAATAGATATTTCCTTTTTTTAATATAATTTATTGATACAGAGCACTTCTTCACAGAGAATGAATGTAAAAATTCCCAATATTGTTCTTAAATTATTTCTATAATAACCACAATTACTCTATAAACTACAGTTTAAAAATTTTTGTTGGAATTTTTATTCGAAATTAGTCAAAAGTCATTACTGGTGGTTTTTGGGGTTGCTAATCACGAATATTATGACGGCGATGATCTCCAAGATATCTGGTGTCCACTGTGGACATCGTTTCCTCCAGTTTTTTGTTAATTTGTTATTGACGATTATTATTAACATAAAACTCTAGGAGACGAGGTTCCCCTTGGCACTAGATACCTTTGAGACAAACGCCGTCGCAATTTCGTGTTCAACAACCCAAATAACCCTTGAGTAATGACTTTTAACTGATTTTGAATGAAAATAACATAAAGCTCCAAGAGAAAAGGTCCATCTTCCATTAGATTGCTCGAGAACCATCGCCATCATAATATTTGTATTCAGCGACCTCGAAAACATCCAAGTAGTGATTTTCGAGTGGCTTGGACATGGTTCTTTTTTAATTTATTCTTCTTGCGAGATTGGGGATCAGGTTTTGTTGTCCTTGTAGCTAATTATTTCGGGCATCAACCATTGTCAAGTTGCTTCGCATGGTGAAAGTTGATGGTATTGCGTATTGCAACTTTTATTTAGTTCTGGCATACAGTTCAAAGTTGGGTTTCAGTTGAGTAGTATTCTAAGCGGAATGCATTCATATTTATACTTAAGTAATTCGTTGAGTATGCATGTGCGGATATTTAAAAAACTATGACTTATCTTGCCAGTTCACAACATCCATTCTGTCATTGTACAAGATAAGCGACATCAAATCCAATGCATGTTTAATAACTCTTCATGCTCTTGATGCAGTTTTTCTGATGTACACGTAGCAATAGGCACAGCGAATGAACTACCAGTATACAGTACAAAATAAAAAAGGCTGTAAATAATTGAGAGCAGATGTAAATTCGAAACATTTCTTATGTGGGTGCTATTGATGCCTTTTTTGGTGTGCAAGGCCTAATTTATTCTATATCTGGCGGAACAAATATAGAGAAGGAATGCGACGGATGAAGGAGAAATGAGAGATATGAATTGGAAGATTAAGATGTCTAAGTAAAGGAACCGACTATGTTATACCTTAATTGTAAATCTTATATTTGAATGTTGTGCATTAAGTTAATATAAAAGGAAGGTAGGTTGTTTTGTAGGTAGGATAAAAACATCTCTAAGGAAAATAAAAGAAGAATATACAAGACCATAATAAAAAGTATCACAACATATGGATGCGAAGTGTGGCCCCTAAAAAACAGAACAGAGAAAATGCTTTAGAGCAACAGAAATGAACTTCTGGCGCCGCTCGGCGGGAATCTCTGGATGCGACAGAATAACAAATGAGAGAGTCCGAAAACATGGGGTACACAAATATTGTGATGACATCAAAACGACACAACTGAGATGTACGACACGTAAGGAATGCCGAAGAATATAATACGAAGACAAATTCTTGAATGGCAACCAAGAGGTAGGCGGAGACCAGCAAGGCCTAGAAGAAGTTGGAAAGAAGGAGTTGATAAAGAAATCAGGGAAAGAGAACTGGAGGACGATCTATGGAACGATAGAATGAGATGGAGATTGGAAAATCGGAAGACGTCGAAGAACGTTATAAACCGACATTATATATATTGTTTTGACACATAAATGATATACCAGAGCCATATTTTCGATACAGGGTGATACGATTTAAGAGCTGATGAATCACTTGAGATCCCAGAAGCAAAAACAACCGTTTTATTTTATATATACGAGAAGTACAAATCCAAAGCCATCCTGTGAATATAAATAAAGAAGGCGGCTATTTATTATCCCTTAACTGAAACCTAAGTCTTCTAGTCTTTTGATTATCCTCTTCTAAGGCTAGGATATGAGGCTTTACTTAAATACATTAAAGCAGGAATCTGAAACTGTAAAATAGTCCAAAATACTTCTCTCGATCAAAACGATCGAAAATGTCTATCAAAAGAACACAATAAAAGTAAACGTAGAAAAAGAACTAACTGATCCTATTGAAGCTGGCAATGAGATAAGACAGAGAGATATCCTGAGTTCTTTTTTGTTCAAGAGCTAACAAACCCTATTTAAGCTGGCAATCAGATAAGACAGAGAGATTCCCTGAGCCAACTTTTTGTTCAACCTAATTATGGATGAAATAATAAAAAAATAAGAACGAAAGAGGATACCAAATGGGAGAAAAACAACTTAAAATAATCTGATATGTAGACAACGCAATACTACTCTCCCAAAGTAAAGATCACTTACAACGTATGGTGCACCAATTTAATATTTCCTCCAGAAATTTAACATGGTAATGTCCCAAAAAAAGACAAAATGCATGGTTATAACAGAAAATTTACTAAGATCTAAATTGGAGCTAGAAGGCCAGAATAGAACACGTGATGGAGATTAAATATCTAGGCATCTAGGTAATAAAATTAAATGAATAAAGCCGCAGGTTGCCTATATAGTATAAATATATATATAAATATATATATATATATATATATATATATATATATATATATATATATAAAACAAGCGAGTCTTCTACAGCTGCGCGCCGCTTCTCGCATCCTAATTTCCAGCGTGTTTCTGTCGAAGCAATCTTTAGTTGTTAGATCTCTGGCGGTCATTGCATCGTCGACATCGTCTCTCCAGGATCGTCTTGGTCTACCTCGTTTTCTTCTAGTTGGCGGAGTCCATTCTTCTATTTTTTTTGGCCATCTATTTTCCGGCATTCTCTGAAGGTGTCCATACCAGTTAAGTCTTTTGGCTTCGATTGTGTCTATTATGTCAAGATCGATTTCCATTTCTCTCCGAATATCTTCGTTTCTCACCCTATCATAGTCTAGTGAGCTGGCAACATCGTCTCCAGTAGTTCATTTCCATGGCCTTAATTTTTGATTTGTTTCTTTGGTTTATTTCCCAGAGTTCGGCGCCATACAGTCCAATACTTTCTATTATTGTTTTATAAATTCTTCTTTTATTTTCTTTTGTTATTTTTTTATTCCATAATAGTCCGTGTAGCTGTCTGGTGGCTGATCTTGCTTGGCCAATTCTGGAATGTATTTCTTCGCTACTTCCTGCTTTTGATGTCATTTGGACTCCCAAGTACTTAAAATTGTCTGTTGGTTTTATAGTTCCCATTTCTATTTGTAGGCTTTCTGGTTGTTCTCCTACAACTAAGTACTCAGTTTTTTGTATATTAATTGTGAGGCCCCATTTGGTGTACTCATCTTCCAGTTTTCTAAGCATGTAGCTTATATCACTCTCGTCTTCAGCTAGAATGGCTTGGTCATCAGCGAAATGTATCGTGTACAATCTATCATCTCCGATTGGGATGCCCATATTGCAGCACTTTCTTCTCCACAGTGAGAGTGCCTCATTTAGATATATTTTGAAGAGTGTAGGTGCTATGCAGCAGCCTTGCTTTAGGCCCTTACTAATAGGAATTTCTCTAGTTAATCTATTTCCAGTTTTAATGTTTGCCAGTCATATTTTTGTAGAGCTGTTGTACTGCTTGTATATTTTTTTTGCTTATTCCTTGTTTTTCCATTGCTACCCAAAGCATTGAAAGTGGTACACTATCGTATGCCTTTGTCAGATCTATAAAGACTATATGAGTTGAAAGGTTGTGGGCTAATCTTTTTCGATAACTTGCTTTAGAGAGAATATACTGTCCATGTAGGATCTGCCTGCACGAAAGCCATTCTGTTCTTCTACATCTGTCATCTCTTTTTCAATTTTATTTTTTATTATTTTTCCATACAGTCTTGAGAGTAAATTTATGACACTTAGCCCCCCTATAGTTTGAACAATTCTTTCTATCTCCTTTTTTGTATATGTTGTTAATATGTGCTTTTGTCCACTCCGGTGGTAAGTCGTGTCCATTATAGAATAAGGTGAAGACATACGCCAGTAATTCCCGTAATACTTGTGGGCTATGTTTTAATAATTCATTTGGTATACCTTGTGGTCCGCATGACTTCCCTTTTTTTAGAGTTCGTATTGCATTCTCGACTTCCTGTACTGTTATTTCATCGTCTTCACTGAATTCCAGTTCATATGTTGTTGTACTGATGTTCGTGAATTGAGATCTTGTTTCAGTTAAAAGTTGCGAATAGTGTCCGATCCAAGATTTTTCTTCTATTAAATATATTCTACTCGTTTCTTTTCTGTTTGTTCTCAGATTTTTTACCGTTTTCCATGCTTCTCTTGATCTTGTTGACCCTATATATTTGTTGAGTTCTGCGCATTTACTTTCCAGGAAATATTTTTTGTTTTAGTTACTAAGTTTTTTACTTCTCTGTTTAATCTTGCATATGTTCGTCTATCATCTGGATAATTGTTTGCAGCCACTTTTGATATGCTTGTTTCTTATTGTGTACTGCATTGCGATGTCATTTGTCCACCACAATGGAGTATTCTTTTTGTTCTTTTGAATGAAACAATATGGAGAAATAAAAATATCGGGAAAGAAACAAAAGGCAGAATTTAGAAAACAGTCATCAGGCCAATAATGACATACGTAGCAGAAACACGACCTGATACAGAGGACAAAAATATGTAGAAACAGCAAAGATGAAAACACTTAACAAAATTGATGGTAAAACACTATGGGACAGAGTTAGAAGTATAGATATAC